GGTCGCAAATAGTCCCCTCTCGTGCCCAATTCGTTCGGCTAACGTGTCTGCCGTGAATACATATATGTATCGTGTTCCGACTTACGAACAATTTAACTAATGAACGGGTATTTGAAACGGAACCGATTATATTTCGATTTAAAGCTTTCGTGACTGCAGGGATTCATCTTCTTGGTTCTTTCGGTAAAATCACGTAGAAGGGAAGTAATAAAATAATATTGTGTTTTATTTTTATTATTTTATTACTTCCCTTCTACGTGACTTTACCGAAAGAACCAAGAAGAGGAACCGATTATGTTCGTAAGTCGAGTACTTCGCTTGATTTAATGTCGTTTTGAAGTGGTCTCATATGGCCACGGGTCGTATGAAATGAAGTCGCAGGTTCTCCACCACTTGTATGGAGAGTTTGTCGAATCAGATGCACATCCCAGACCTGGGGTCAAGTGACATTACAATTCCAGCCGCGTTGTTAGCTGAAATTACACTTACATTTGTGATTGCAGTTCATTAAGAATCACACAATTACAACCGTAATTGACCCCGGCTTTGTACATGACTGCCAGGAAAGAGAACGAATGGAGTGCAACAATTTACTATCAAGTGAGGTTGACACAAGTCGTCCATACGTCTTAGACGTGTCGCGTGCGCCCTCTATTGGATACATTGCATACTGCTGTTGTACAATAATCGGGGTTTTCCCCTTTTTTCTGGCAACAAAACTGAAACCTTTTTATAAGGATTCATGTCTGCATTAACCACAATACTTGCAGTCAAATGAAAACAAAAAACACGTCCCTTGGTGTGGACCAATCAGTTTCAAGGACAATGCATATATTATCAGTGTATTTTTTGTTTGCATTTGACTGCAAGTATTGTGGTTAATGCAGACGAATCCTTGTAAAAAGGTTTCAGTTTTGTTGCCAGAAAAAAAGGGGAAAAAACCCTATTATTATATTTTGGTACTGGCAAAGGAGGTCTAATGATGCTGTTGTACAAGCTATGCTTCATTACGGAGATTGGCTTTCCGATGAAGTACTGTACATGTACGGTAATTGTCTTCAACCCTCCTGGCAAGTGGGAAGTCAGGTCAAATAACCCCCTGCCACCACGATCCAGCATTGGATTTATTAAAGGCTCTCATGGTGTACTGCAATACAATAACCGCAGTTCACCACAAAGTGGCGGTTACATCACCACGGCGCTTGTGCCAAGCTAGGTGCACTTTGAGACCCGCTGACAGGTCACGAAATAGCCCCAGGTGCTATGGGTTGACTGCCTGAGATGACTGGCAGATGCACCAACTGTGGTCCCCACTGTGCCAAGTCTCCGCGCTTTATCCGCCCGGCGCTCTGCTCGTTATTTGTGAGCGTCCCTCCTGTGCCCCTCCGTTGCTCCTGGAGGGCGACAGCCTCCAACTCCCCAGCAGCATTCTTCATGAACTTCTCCACAGAGGCCGATCTTGACACTGCTGTTGCCCAAGGCAGACAAAGAGGACACGGCTAAATTAAGCAGCAGGAATTCTGGAGCGCTGGGCAGGAGTAGGAATCACCTGGTCAAGATATTCGGGGTGGCAGAGAGGGAGACGAGCAGCGTGTGTTTTCACAGGGGGCATTCTTCATGAACTTCTCCACAGAGGCCGATCTTGACACTGCTGTTGCCCAAGGCAGACAAAGAGGACACGGCTAAATTGAACAGCAGGAATTCTGGAGCGCTGGACAGGAGTAGGAATCACCTGTCCAGCGCTCCAGAATTCCTGCGGTTCAATTTAGGAATCACCTGGTCAAGATATCGGGGGTGGCAGAGAGGGAGACGAGCAGCGTGTGTTTTCACAGGGGGCGGGGAGAGGAGAGGGAAGAGATTCGGTGGGGGTGGCCACACAGAAATCTTCAACCCTCCTGGCAAGTGTGAAGTGTGTATTTTTTGTCTTCTTGGTTCTTTCGGTAAAGTCACGTAAAATGGCTACTTGCGTTGTGGCCGAAACGTCGTGAGAATTATTTATTGTTTTATTTTCATCATTTTATTATTTCCCTTCTACGTGACTTTACCGAAAGAACCAAGAAGATGAATCCCTGCAGTCACGAAAGCTTTAAATCGAAATTTGTGCATTTTGTGTTTAGTTTGTCCTCCCCCCTCTCCCACCTCTGATTAGCACGGATGGGCACGTACGGTGCGAAAGAAGTTCAACTTACATACGTGTGATGGTGCACGCCTATAATTATCCAACACTGTGACACACGCGTTGTGAAACTTCCTTTCCCCTGGGCGAGCTGCTATAGCCTGGCTCGCCAGGAGAATGCAGCTTAGCGAACATGTGGAGTCCACGAGTTCAGTCTGGATAGGATAGAGTGTTTCCCCCTTGCACGAGTGGGGTTTCTCCGGGTGCTCCGGTTTCTTCTCGCATATAAACACTCATTCATTGACCGACAACACCTTCATATATATAAAGCGGGTCGCATAGCTTGTGTTATTGTTGTAATTATTATAGCTCAAGGCTCGCGTACATAAATAATTGCAATTGTTTATGTACGCGAACCTTGAGCTAATGTAGATATAGATGGCTAGGGAGTCAACGTGATTTACACGAGGCTTGAACAGATTTCAACATACTGTCAAGATAGCAGTGCAGAGTAATTAAATATTTGACTTTGGGTTTAGACAACACAGCAGCGTTTCACAACCGATTTGACATGTACTCATGGCAAAATCACAGGTGATGCCGCATAATTTGTGGATAAAGGGCAAGGGAAGAACCATGTAAAAAAGATTTAACTACACATATTTGTACCATCTTATTTGACAGGTACTATTCTACTTTACCCAGTTTTGACATCCCCAGCGTTTAACAGTACTGCTTTTGTGTATTTGGATTGTCAGCCAACACCGGTTAAATCGAGGTGCACCAATTGTTCTCTTGTAGCTCCGCCCACCCCCCCAACACGTTCCATTCATTGGCTACCACATTCAGATAAGCCCCTCCCCCCCTCAACTTGTATTTAAGAGCTTGTCTCTTGGAATTTTGCTTCACTTGATACAGTAAATTCAGCTGTGACGGTCCCACCTGATGACGGGAGACTTGTGTTACCTCCGAAACGTCGTGATTTATTATTTATTTCTATTATTATATAACTTATTTTTACCTACGTGACTTTACCGAAAAAACCCAAGAGTATGAATCCTTGCAGTCACGAAAGCTTCAAATCTAGAAGGAAAGAACCTTTCACTGTTCGCAAGCTGGGGCAGACGAGAACTTTCCGTGCCGTTCAGTGGCCGATCCACCACCCTCGCCAACTCATCTCTCCATTGGTTTCGTATTCGCGGTTGGAATGATTTAGTTCACCAATGCCGCGGAATGAAGATACTGTAGTGTAATAACAAACTCGCATGTCGCACAAAGCCTCAACGCGTTTTACACGACGCTTAAGCGGTGGAGGAAGCCTGTTAGAACCAGGTGAGAGCTTAGTCCCCGTTTCTACTAAACCCCACGTGAGCAGACAGGTACATGGGATGGACTATAAGACACCACACTTTCTCTGTAAACACATTGGTCACCGTTGCTCCTGGGGATCTGTATGATCACTGTTTCATTGCTTTATTTTGGTGATTTCGAAAAGTTTACTGGTTTGGCCACGTTTGTTTGTTGTAGTACGGAGTAAGACTGATGGCCTTAATCGAAGTTGTCTTGTGGTTATTGTTGTTTGACTTGCATCCCACTGGGATTTTGCACACAGCGTTGGTGTACGGCGTTTTTTTCTGCAATATTATGCTGTCTTTTCTTGGATTTTCTGTTTGCACTTAGTCACATTAACTTTAAGATGTTTTCTTGTTCATGTTTTTGTTTGTTGCGGTTGCACCCGATTCAAGAGCCGAATCGCTCACGGCTTTACCTAATGAACTTGAACTGTAAGAATGTTAAACACAATCAGCGCGTGTATGTTATTATTTTAGGTTCTCTTTGGTTACATTCGACTCTCCCCCTCCCTTCTATAAAAAAAGTTTCTCTCCGATCGGGAGTAGTCGCGGGCAGTGAGGCCAGGCACCTTCGCGCTGTGACTTGTGTTCTTCCCAGGTGACTTTTAAGACGCGTGTAAAAGTAAAACACCCACACAAATGTAACAAGACTCGGATTCCCGAATGACCCGAGGAAGTTAATTCCACAATAGCGGAAACTGGCTGCGAAAAGCTTCGTCTCGTATAGAACAAAGTCCGGTCTTTGGAATCACAACGAGCGTGCCAGGATCAGCAAGATCTCCGTTGTCGCAGTGGAATTATAAGACGACAGCAGATCGGCCAAGTTGCCCAAATCACGAGTTTGGGTTGAGAGGCGCGCCGTGGTACAGTGAGGTACAGTGAGGAGCTGGGGGCACGGGAAGTGACGCGGCGCGTGCAGGACCCGGATGTAGCGGGTGGGGGGGGGGTTGAGGGGTGGTGGTGGGGGGAGGGATGAGTGGGGGTGGGGGTTGGAGGGGGGTTGAGGGTGGGGGGGGTTGGAGAGTGGTTGATGGTGGGGGGGGGTTGAGGGGTGGAGGATGGTGGGGGGGTAGGAGGGTAGGGGTTGGAGGGGGGTTGAGGGTGGTTGATGGTTGGAGGGTGGGGGGGGTTGGAGGGTGGGGTGGGGGGGTTGGAGGGTGGGGGGTTGGAGGGTGGTTGAGGGGGGGGTTGAGGGTGGTTGATGATGGGGGGGGGTAGCTGAGGGTGGGGGGGCAGCTGAGGGTGGGCAGTTGAGGGTGGGGGGATAGCTGAGGGTGGGGGGGCAGCTGAGGGTGGGGGGGGGGGGGGGGCAGCTGAGGCCGGGGGGGGGCAGCTGAGGACGGGGGGGGGGCAGCTGAGGACGGGGGGGGGGCAGCTGAGGACGGGGGGGGGCAGCTGAGGGTGGGGGGGGGCAGCCGAGGACGGGGGGGGGGCAGCTGAGGCCGGGGGGGCGCAGCCGAGGACGGGGGGGGGGCAGCCGAGGACGGGGGGGGGGTGTTTCCGGCCCTAGGCTACGTCACGTGGTGTCACAGCGCGCGCCGTGCGAGTGACCCGGCAGCAGACGCTGACCACTGACCCTCCTCCTCCACCTCCTCCTCCTCCTGCCGCCTTTCTGTGTTCACTCCGCGTCTACCTCGGCTTCTCCACCGTCCCTCCTCGTCACAACAACAACAACAAGCCCGTGAGCTGCGGCGTAAGCTACCCCCGTGTTCGCGCGTTACTAATGCGACGTGTGCGACTGCGAAGAGCGTCGAGTGTGTTGTTTGTGTTCGCACCGCCCTCCCTGTTATTGAGTTTACTGAGCCAAGCGAATTAACACGACGTCGTGTTTATTAGCTCGGCTATAGCACATGCAAACATTGTGACACCGTAAGCACGGTGCGTATTATTCGATTATGCATCGTTTATTAATCGCGGATTTCAGTTGATTAGCCTGGAGGACTTAGATGGCCTATTTGGCACGAAAGTGTGCTGTTATTCGAGTCATGGCTATACGCAATGTATAGCAGCGTGGTCCAGATGTTTTGTGACCACTAATTGATCCTACCCCCCCCCACACACACATTTTTGCATGTTAATTTCTGTTTCAAATAAAATATTTTTGAGAATTTATTTGATGGGGCAAGGGAGGGGGGGTCACAAGACATATGGACCACCCTGTCCTGTGGTGCTGAAACATCGAGGCAGGCGAAGTTACCCTCTTATTATATTAATATTATAATAAGCCCCACGCCACCCTTATGTGTCACGTTGACGTGGAGGTGTTGACACCCCAGGCCAAGGTGCAGCCCTCTCGCAATGGGTGGCTCACACCGCCCGAGGGTTACTCCCCACCCACTGAGAAATATCTCTGTCTGAGTGAGTGGGGAGGTCTAGAGGGCATTTGGCCTACTCGTCCACGCTGGCCAGACGACGTCGTCTTGTAAAGGTTGGGATTATTCACATTTTACCCCACCACACGCCACATGGCCATCGCGACAATTTAAGACGATTTTGATTTGAAGCTTTCGTGACTGCAGGATATCCATACTCTGGTTCTTACCGACGTGACTTTACCGAAATAACCAAAGATTACGACTTAAGACACTTGGCCAGGGTTTCAAAATCCGCACCGTAACACAAAATAATGCTTTCCTGGTGAAGGGCAGTGGGCCGAAACGTCACGATGTTTACTTCACTCATTGACAGGAACAGTATTATTTATTTGCACTTGTTAATGGACCTGTTAATTCATGTACATTCTACGTTGTTTCGTGTATAGGCACCTTTATACAGTTGTAATGCGTGACATTGAGTACTGTTTGGGCATGCATTGTTGCCTTTCACCACTGACCAGCTCGTGATAATGAGAGGTGTAACCACCTTGTCTTGTTTTCAAATGTAAACACTCAGAATGGTGTGTTCGGATGCAACACTGCATATTACGCCCTGATCAATGAAGCTACTACACCCAATGCAGGATCTGTGTACGTTGGGTGTAACCCGTCTTTCCCAAAGATGTGGGCATGTCGGATGTGCAACGTTCTACGTGTTGATGATAGGAGTTGATGATTGCATCTGACAGGTGAAAGTTAGTTTTTTTCAGTGGCCAAGGTATTGGTTGGGCAAAGCTTTCATTGATGAACGTAAATACACGTATGTCACGACGGTGAAACGGATGGAAAGTTCAAATATTATTATTATTCAATGTATTTAACCACTGTCAAACCTTGTGCACATACATATATTTTGTAATACGATTTTGTTGTGCTTTCAGCGGTTTGAATGGTATCAAATGCCAAAGTAAGCACAAAAGTACATTGATATAAAATGCCAGTTACAGCTGCAACGCATTAGGGTATTCCTGCCAAATGCCACATTGACATTTTTCATGTTGACCAGTACACAGTAGAAGAGTTGCTTCACCAACCTTGCACTGGCCAGCATGGTGAAGTTTCGTGAAATCATGACCTACGTGGTGTGTGGGGGGGCTCTCATCCAGCGTTGGAGTGACAAAATAGGGATTTAGAATTAGATAACTTACCCCCATCAAAACCACGTTTGTATACTATGTTTACCTATGTCCTATATTGAGATACAGGACTTCCAATGTACCTGCTATTAATACAGTACAACATTGCATATCTTCCCCGCTGGAAAACGAAGTTCAGGCAGATATTTCAAAAGGTGGGATGTGAGAACATTTATGGAAAATTTCAGTTACGCCACGTACAAATAGGTTACTTGTACAATATTGCGAAAACTGCTTTAAACATGGGGCAGTGCTCGATGCTTTGGCAGTAAGCAAATGTTTGCGTGGTTAACAATCCATTACTGTTGGCTATGTATGGTGTGTAAGAGCAATTTGAAACATACATACATACATTCAAACATTCTGTGAAAATCTCTATTTGAAGCTTGTGAAAATGTTGGATTTTGTGAACGTCTGCAGAAAATGACAGTTACCCCACCCACATACTGCACGAAGTGTGGGTGGCTACATGGTCATGGTGTATTTGTGACAGTCGGATACGCGGTGCACTTTATTGTAAATGGAAAATGTACGTGTATTGCAGCATTAAAGTAACCGTAGCAGGCCTTGCCTGTTTTCTGTCAGACATAGCGTCACATTCCATGGAAGTTGAATTACTTTGTTCACTGAAGATGACGATTTGCATACATTTACGTGTTTAGTGTGAGACTTCATTCAAATCAGAATATTAGACTATCCCAGGCCAACGAGTGAAACCAATAAACCTCTGGACCATAAATGTAAAGGGCCAAAATTGGAAAATGTGGCCTTTCTTGAATATTATTCAACTTTACATTAGTTGCTCAATGGCGATACCTATCGGTATAAGATAATGACAACAGTATTTTTTAAATTTCAGTTTAAGGAAGAGAATGGAGAAAAAAGATGGTCCTCATGCTGCTAAGTCAAAGGTGGTTAAGGAAGAGGTGAGTCAGTTTCTGAATCGGTAATTCCACCATCACAATGTTTAATTTCACAAAGGATTGCAAGAATTTTGAATGGCATCCAGAAACACCTTCCTCCAATCTCATCGTAGGCTCTCTGGACTGGAAAATGGCTTAAAGTGGAACAGACAACATACTTGGATCCAAAAGGACAAATAAGGTCTTTTTCAAATTCTTGTTTTTTGTTCTTTTAAATTTATATTTTAAGAATTCCTTTGCATTACTGTAAAATAATATGGTTAATGCTGGAGGAGTAGCCCAGCGGATCACGCACGGCACTACGAACCCAGCTACTTGAGTTGGATTCCTGCCTATTGGCTACATTATTACTGTCTAAACTGGTCCTGGGCCTCTTTACCAAAACCGTACTGACTAGCGCGGTGAAGTATGGTCAAGCAACCCCCATGACTGACACATGCATGGGAAGGACGTTCATCCAGCAGTGGATTGACAGTGAGCCGTAGATTAAAAAATGCAACATGAATATGTATAATCCTGGTATTATGCTCAGCACCGGTTGCTATAGTAAACATACTATTAACCTATACAGTATCTCTTCCAATGTTATTTCCCTCTGTAGGGGCCCATTTTGGGATGAATACTTTTCTCTCTGCCTTAATGCCTATATCAGCACAATGTGTGTTTAGTAAATGTGTAAAGATCCATCGATTAAAATCGATTCTTACGTTCACGATACTTACGTAGAATTATGTGCGTAAGAATCTCTTAATACCCATCCATATATGTTGTATATGATTGGTTTACGAAGTTGCAATTGGTTCACGTAAGACCCTTGCAGCTCCTAGAAGCACTGCATTCTCCACCGTGGCCAGTAGATAAATTATTTTTGCGTTGAATCTTGACCCCGAACATTGACAATTTCATCATATTTCATTGGGGGAGAGTAATTTAAATATATATGTGCACCTATTTCAGAGTCAGATGTGAAATTGTACGGTGGATCTCATGAACGGGTTTCTCTGCAGGACCTGGGAGACCGTGAAAAGGACAACGAGGTCGGCGAGCTGCGGCAGTGACGGTGAGGACCGCCACTGGCATCTGCCGTTGCGCAAAGCGTCGCCTCGTAATTAATCGTCGGCAAAAATGGCACGGGGAAAACCTGACGTAGGAAAAAAATGGCTCAGGAGAAAATAGTGCAGGAAAAAATGTCACAGGTGAAAACTGAAAAAATGTTCACTATCAAACAGGACTACTTATAACTGTTAGTACAGTGCTCACAGTTATATTCAGATCTGAATGAAAGAGATGATTAACCCTAAACCTCGATGATTATTTCTTGTGCCATTATTTTCTAGTTTTCACCTGTGCCGTTTTTACTCGTGCCATTTTCCTGTGATGTCTTTACTGTGCCGCTTTTACCCATGCCGTCTTTGCCGGCCACCCCTTGCAATGACATCTCACAGGGGCCCTTCCATCTTCAGTTTAACGACCTTTTCAAAGAAGAGCTTGTCTGGTAATTTTAGTTAATTTTGAGCAATTACCCAAATTTGTCCATCTAGTGGTGTTTTGTTCACTTTCAGTTCACTAATATTTCGTAACTTTGTGTTATCAGCACACATTTGTCGTCAAACACGAGATAGCAAATGCTTTGTGCAGTAAACACACCGTCAGATTGCAAAATACAAATACATCATGTTTCAGTGTCAAAACAAATCATAAAACGCAAACACTCTGCATAGATGCACACTGACAATCTAATGTATCTCAGTTGGCATTTTCAGGGACCCTAAAACATGAAAACTTTCTTTTGTCAAGCAAAGATAGGATTGCTTTCAATTATAACAGTGTGTTTTCATTGCACTGTAGACAATGATTTTGTTGGCTTAAACGCATGATAACCCAACGATAAAGCCAAGTCCCTTACAACTGTTGCTCAGTATGCGAGGATGGCTGTCATGGATACTCACTTGCACTATGCATGTTGTCCGACAAAAACAACCAGTGGCCACACAGCGACAAGTCAACACTGGCATGCCTGGAGGAATTTAACAGGTTTTTGTAAAAAGGCAACGGTGAGTGCAATTGAGCCTAAAGGAAATATATATGTTTAGCTGTTGCGTTGCAGCTCATTCCACACCACCCCCACACGCCCCCCCACACAACCCCCCCGCACACCCCCCCCCCTCCCACGTACAGGTGTAGCCATCATGGCCATCCTCAAGCGAACACTGCACCACGACTGCCTGCTGCTGGTAAAGCAATTCCGGCCGCCCATGGGCTGCTACACGATAGAGCTGCCCGCCGGTGAGTTAGTCGTTTGACCAGGAACACCACTAATTCTAACATTTCTTCTTGCAAATTTTGAACAATTACCTGTAAATGACTTAATTGGGAAGAAAGAAAACCACAGCAATATTGCCCTACTTCTGGTTGACACATGGTTTGCAAATAGGACACATTCCCATGTGCAGGTCGGCTATGCATACACCTAGAGCACCATAGGGACAGCTGCCACCGGGGGTCCCTTTGGCAAGACTGCAGCAGGGCCTTGGAATGGTTTAGATGAGATTGAATTACTTAGGCATTTAAGAGCCATTTAAATGCAAATCCTCAAATTCTGATCATCACCCTTTCTGTAAATGACGAGAAACCTGTTGGGCAGAAGAGTGCATGTGAGCTGGAAATAAATGGGTGATCTTGATCATTAGCCCAGTACTCCCATCAAGCATTGCACATCTCATGACATCACTACACTGCATGTGTAAGGCACTCAGGCTTGTTTAAACCATTAGTCCTAAAGAGTCAACATTGCCTGGGACAGGGGGTGCAGGGAAGAATAATACCGATTTCTTTAACCCTTCCCTTCCCATCCAAAATACATTTTCCACCCTCTCCTGTGCTATCACGGGGGAGATGCTAGGGAGATGTGTATCTAAAGGCAGTGACACAGCCGAGCAGTAATGCGTTCTCCACTTGTTGAAATCGTTCACGGTTCTAATTCAGCGACCGCCCTGATGTTTATTATTACTAACCATGATAAAACATGCCGTCTGCTTCACATTGGACATTAGAGATCCCCTGCCATCATTCGCAACATTAGGCTATTGTGTACCGTTTTTGGAGTAAAAATATGCCAAATTATAACGCACATTGCACAATTGTTGTTATACATAGTAATCATCCCTCCCTACTGGCAGACGTATGCCCCAGGTCAACCTTGCAAAAAAAACTATCCTGGTCTCTTGAAAAAAACTTGAAACTTTCCATCCCTTGCACCCTTGCACCCTAGCTCTCGCTGTGTCGATGTATATCTTAATGTTCTGGGGCTTCATGAGGGTGTGCGTACGAGTGCTGTGCTCGCTCACGCAGGAAAGGAGAGTTCTGTGTTAAGACGCTGACTCAGTGTGTGCGGTGTGTATGGGGTGTGCGGTGCAGGCCTGGTTGATAGCGGGGAGACAGTGCAGGCAGCTGCTCTACGGGAGCTGCAGGAGGAGACCGGCTATCACGCTGAGATCACCGGCGTATCTCCAGGTCTGTATATCCGACTGGCAGCTACTTCTAAAAAGTCATTTCATTTTGCCTCCGTAAATGCAGCAAGACGTTTTAAGCATAGCTGCGCTTTTTACTGGTGCAGCACTTCCACATACTTGTTGCTGTGCAGGATCAAGACACTTGCTTGTGCAAGCTCATTTTCAGTGGGCGACTCTCTGCATTGCAGGTCTTCAATTGAAATACACTTAGCGAAGAAAATGCCAAAACCATATTAAGAAATGTTTTTTTTTCTGGCCAAGGTGAAAACCTTTTGTAATTACGGAATAGGATTTCTTCTATCAATTTGCAACTGAACAGTCGGTCAATGAATGAGCAGCGAAGCCACTCAGGAGGTTATTGCTATACAGCTGGCACCTCTGATATCTGGTCTTCACGTGGAGAGTTGTTAACTTGAACACCAACGAGTATAAAAACATTTGTCAACATGTGCGCATCGCTTTGCCTTTTTGGTAGGGCTGCACAATGCACCGCTCTCATCTGCAAAACTGAAAAACAGAGTATTTACACCATTGGAACCTCATTTGCCAGTAAAAAATATGATAATTGTTTTTTTACCCTTTTATCTGGCAACAAAACTGACACTTTTTTTTACAAGGAGTCATGTTTGCATAGACCACAATACCTGCAGTCATAATGCAGAGTTATGTTTTTTTGTTTGCATTATAACTGCAGGTATTGTGGTCTATGCAAACATGACTCCTTGTAAAAAAAAAAGGTGTCAGTTTTGTTGCCAGATAAAAGGGTAAAAAAACAATTATCAGACTGGAGTATATTTTGAGATAGAACCTTGAAGGATGCCATTTGAAAGTGATGTATGTGTGTTTAGCTGACAAGGTGTGTGCTGTGCTATCACATAATGACCAGGCATGGAAAATGAGCTGCTCCCTGCCTCCTTTGGCACGTCTGGGTTGTACCGTATTCTCCAGGTTATAAGACACGTTTTTTTCTCTATTTTAAAATGTAAGTTCATAATCTAGTAGGTGTGTGTATGTGCGTGACCAGAGTTGTATAACCTTACTGACACCAGTCACGAGTTCAGAGTACATCTTACTTTCCATAGCTTCACATAACCCTGAGGTTATGGTAGTAAGTGATTGAGGCATTTTCTCAGTGCATCTAGGATGCAGTTTGTGAATGAAGCATTGCCATTGTCCTGCAATGCAGTTCTGTGCCTCGACCCGGGCATTTCCAACTGCACCGAGCTGCTCGTCTCTGCCGTAATCAACGGGGACGACCCTGAAAACCGGAGGCCTCAACAGGAGCTTGGTGAGTCGTCCCCACCGCTCGCTCCTTCACACGTACAGATATTTATTTTTTCACAAGCACGGTTAATCCGCAAGCTGGATAACACTGGTCAAAAAAACAATATAATTTTATGTAGATATACACATTTATTTCATATTTTTCTTCTGCAGTTTCTATTGAAAATTCAATATTTGATATCTCAAAAACCTGATGTGATGGACAAAAACTGATGCCAGATTTGGAATCAGCATCCCAAAATTACCTTAGAATCCGTTGGAATACCTTATGCCAGAAAAAGTGTGTTGACCAGTGTAATCCATCCATGGATGATCGGAAGTTGACTGTAACTTGTTGTTGATGAATGTTAAGGTAAATAAATAAATCGTTATATTGATTTTCTCGGGAAAGCAGTAGTTAACTGTATCTGAAGACTCATTCTTATTGGGATGTTTGAAAAATATATAGTCCAGAAGTGTATTTCTTATTTGAGGAAATTGGAGTAGAGAGAAAATCCACCAATGAGAGAGGATAACATTCAAAGATCCGGACACATGGGTTCATTAACCCACTTGCTCTACTGCAATCTTCTGGCCACCTTGCAGCCCAGCACATTTCACAAACCAGTGTGATTCACCAACCCTTGCGTCCAAAGTGCTGGATCACAGGCGTGTCTCACCACGCCTAGTTGATGATTTTAATGGCTGATTGAAATAGTGATGACGATGTTAACATGGATTCAGGTGGAACGATAGTGATGGCAGTCAGGGCAGTCAGGGCTATCCATAGGTTCCTGGAGGTCTGGGAGCTAGAGGCTGAGGACAGAATGCCACTTGAAACCCCCTCATTCCTTTAAAACGAAAATACAGGTCTGTTGTGGCACCCTCTTTTGTGTTAGGCTCAGGGCGAATTGTCACTTTTGCTTTACCCTCTGGGCATTCTGGAGATGCTCATCATAATGCATCTTGGTCCGAGTAATGATAATGTTGTATTTTAATTTGGTGCCTTACACTACATTTTAGTGAGAGCTCAATGAAATTATTAATTTCTCACAAGGGAGACTTTGCCGACTGATCAAGTCGAGAGACTATTTTGTAAGATACATGGGGAAAACATTTCTTCATTTTTTTTGCCCTGCAATTGTATCCTGATTGTGCTCTTGGAATCATGCCACGAGAAGAAAAATCCATTTGCAACGCTCAGAGAGCAGCGCATCACCCAATATGAGAACACAGTCCAATGAAGATCTCACAACACACTGCTTATAAAATCTGTTACCTCTAAGCCATGATAGGGGGCAGCACTTTGCCATTCGTGTGCTATAGACAGAGTTGTTCATCGCAGACCGATACTCTTTAATTCTCAGAGCTGAAATATAGGCAAATTCAGTGCAAATCTCAATAATGTTTTTGTTGTGCAGTCATTTGTGACTGGGTTGAGACTAATCTCACTATCCCCATACAACATGAGTTGAATCTTGGGCAGCCGTCCATAGCTCAACTCTGACCTGAGCCACCTGGCTAAGTTGGGGCAATCTTTAAAGTATTGCATTTGAGATATGGCTTTAGTACACATCTGTCCACTCCTAATAATGAGGATATCACAGGGTATTTTCCATCCACTTTTAAGCGAATGGTGCACTTTGATAACGAATATAGCTGGTGGGCAGGGACATTTTGACTCTGAAAACTTACTCATGTTCACGGGCTCTTTTCAGCTGTACATGTACAACCAGTTTTGTCAATCCACTCCTGGATGAGCCCCCCCCCACCCCATGCCACGTGGGTCATGGGGGTTATTTGACTATACTTTATCATGCTGGTGAGTGGAGCTTTCTGAAGGCAGGGAGCATGTGTAAAGAAGTATAGTATAGTACATTAATGATTTTTTTAGATTTAAAGCTTTCGTGACTGCAGGGATTCATCTTCTTGGTTCTTTCGGTAAAGTCACGTAGAATGGAAATAATAAAATAATAAAAATAAAACATCATTAAATAATTCTCACGACGTTTCGGCCACAACGCAAGTAGCCGTCCTCAGGTGGAGAACAGGTCTGTCGAGGAGACAGAGTCTGAATGACAAGCCCCAGGCTTGGAGCGACTATTTAAGCTGGGATGGGGCGCTCTTCGCCCCTCCATCCCAGCTTAAATAGTCGCTCCAAGCCTGGGGCTCTTCGCCCCTCCATCCCAGCTTAAATAGTCGCTCCATGCCTGGAGTGTGTCATTCAGACTCTGTCTCCTCGACAGACCTGTTCTCCACCTGAGGACGGCTACTTGCGTTGTGGCCGAAACGTTGTGAGAATTATTTGATTGGTTTATATTTATTATTTTATTATTTACATTCTATGTGACTTTACCGAAAGAACCAAGAAGATACATTAATGGACTTTGCTGTTCTGCCCTTTAAACATCCTTTGTAATGTAACTTTCTTTCCTTCTTTTTCAGATGAAGGAGGTATGTGTCCTTCATTACCCAATACCTATTGCAAACCAAGTATTTTAATATTTCCACTAAATATATTTAACAGAGCCTAATAAAACTACAAATCTACTAGGCACAGACTTGGAAGCGTGGGAAAAATGATACAATTGAGTATTGATAAATGTAATTGTTGTATAAAGCCCCGATATACACGGAGGTTTGCCAGACATGACATTAAACCCAGAGTTAAGTTGAGAAGCTTGTGGTCGTAGGCCTGTTTTTATGAGGCTCCATTTCATACTCTTCATTATTTAGTGAAAAAATATATAAACTACAATAGCTCACATTGTGTATTGTTCAGGTATAATAAGGCAGCAGCTTCATCACTGACACTAGTCACGTTTTCTCACCAATTCGTTTTTACTACGGACGGTTCATTGGTAGCAGTGAAACAATGCTACTGGTGTGTTCTTTATCCGTTTGTCCTGTCTGTTTTCCCAGAATTTATTGAGGTTCTGTTGGTGCCAGTCAATGAGCTTCTGCAAAAACTGACAGGTGAGTGTGTGTTTATGCTGGGGGTAATTATTTATATGCTCGGAGCCTCAAAATATGCTTTCTCCCCTTTTTCAACTCATGTGTCTATCTGCCAGTGCAATAATGCCCTGTCTGCCAGTGCGTTGCAAAATGCGCAGTTATTCAGGAAGGAAGTAGAGACATTGGCTTGGATTTTTTGCTCCTGCTTTATTAATGGCAAGTGCATGAGTTACTGGAGATTTTCACTGGCAGAGAATGAACTATGCAATTAAGACTGTTGCTGCTTACATTTTTAAAGTAGATGTTGAGAGTGGTTTTAACCATTTTTACGCTGTTCATAATAGAGTGTATCGCCCATTGTTTAATTTACTTTTAGATGACAGCCTCCTCATGCCGTGTTGGTCTTGGGGGTCGTTTTACCATACTTAACCATGCCAGGCAGTGTGGCTTGGTGAAGTGGGGGAGGGTGGTCAGGCCCGGTCCAGATAACGCTCAACTGGCGTTAGTCATGGATGGAAGCTGACTCGGGTTGCCAGGTTCAAAGTGCTGTGGGCCAACCACCTCTGCCACAATACATCTCTAACAAAATAATAAAAATAAAACATAATAAAACAATTCTCACGACGTTTCGGCCACAACGCAAGCAGCCGTCCTCAGGTGAAAACCAGGTCCGTCGAGGCGACAGAGTCTGAATGAAACAGCACACGGGCTTAGGATTAGTCGCTACTTGGGGAATGCGTAGGAGGTGGGCGGGGGGGTTTCAAAGTCATATTATGCCCGTGCATTATGCAGGATTAGCAGCATCAAAGGGAGGGAGTAAGGTTAGCATTAATATAGGGAAGGAATGGATTCATTAAGAAGATGAATCCCTGCAGTCACGAAAGCTTTAAATCGAAATGTTCCTAAAGGTACAATGCCTGCCTCGTTCCTGGTTCCTCCACGCAGAGATGTCCAACAAGGGGATTGTGGTCGATGCCCGGGTCCATATCTACGCAATGGCTCTCGTCCAAGCAACGGCCAAGCCCAACCTGCTGCCATTGCTCAAGGCATAGGACATCGAAAACAGGGAATACCATCTGACCGACCAGATGGGGACACCAAAAATACCATGCGGCGAACACCGACCAGATCGCGTGGGATTTTTGCACAATGCGACGCCATGCCAAGGCTGTCGTGAAAGTAGAGTGGGTGGGTGGGTGTGTGTGCGTGTGTACGCAGTCTTTGTTCGGGGAGCGGTAGTGCAGGGGTTAGCGTACTGCACTACGAAATCTGGCAACCTAGGGGCCCTCTTCTAAGTCGACTCAGCCTGAAATGGGTACCTGGTGCAGTGTGTAAACATCACTGCTAGGAAGACAACGGTGGCCGGACGTGATGCTAGCCTTGTTAGCCATGCCTGCCTTCATAGATAGTCGTTCGCAGCACTTGCCCCAACAGCCTATGAAGGCTATAGGGGGAATAATTCCTTGTTATGTGGTAGTATAGTGATTTGCGCTATGAACCTGGTAACCTTAGTTTGGTTTCCGGCAGCAACTAACATCAGTGGTGATTATCTGAACCGGTCCTGAGCCTCACCAAAGTGGACGCAACAGTAAATGAGTACCATGTACGACGTGTAAACATCAGCACTGGGGAGACAAAGGCAGCTGGGTGTGGTGCTGGCCACGCAACCACCCTCTCCTGTGCTGTGCCAGCCTTTATTAGGTGATAGCTAACAGTACTTGCCCCAACAGCCTGTGTGGGCTTTATGGGGGACCTTTGTATGTGTGCTTTGGTTGGTTGGTTCCTTTTAAGTGTGGTGATTTCAAATTGGTCATCGTCCTTTGGTCACCTATACCTCACCTCTCCTTTTCCAGTAGACTGAGGTTTAGCTACGAATTCCCATGGTGCTTGCTTTCTTGGCTACATGAGCTGGTGATGTCCTATTTATTGATCTGATCAAGAGGCACCAGACTCATGGTTGGATATTTGAGATCTTGTATAGCAGAGCACAGCTTTTATTTGGATATCTTCATGATGCCTTTGCCAAAAATAGTCACATCTTGTCTTGAGCTAATTAGCAATACCCAGAGTGCAAATCCAATTTTTATTTTCTTACATTCCATTTTTATTTTGTTTATTCCCTTACTGATTCTCAAGGTTTTCAGCAGGGTCCTGCATTGGGATGTTTGGCCAATTTTTCAATTAATAATTAATCAGTGTCACGTGGGAGGAAACCAGATTATCTGTTGAAAACCCAGGCATGCCAGGAGGTAACACTCCCAGCTTCTCAGCAATGGATTCAAGACTCCAGTAATGTATTCAAGAATCCATTGTTGACCTCCCATCTTACACGACCTCTCTGTGATCCATAACTAGTGGTGAAAATTTCACCATTGCTGTTGTCGGAGCCCCAACATCTGAGTAATGCGTCCACTGTTGACTTTCTTACAAATGGTTCATCGGCCTGTCTATCGTTTTGACGATGACATCGGTGAATTCTTGGTGTGTCAGTGCGAGGCTTTCTCCAGATTCGGGAGATAGAAAACATCTTGTATAGATTGACAGGTCATGGTGGAATGGTGATCATTTTAGGGCCCATTACAACAAAAAATCCCAATACAACAAAAAATCCCAATGGAATAACAGTGGCTGAGCAACATTGCAGGAACCTTGAGTGGGATTTTAACTCGTGACCTTGTCACCTTGAATATTTTGTCTTGAGGTGCTCCTGAGTGAGTTACCCCATCGTGATTTCTCAATCGTCACAAAATAATACTAAAGGCTATCTTTGAAAACTCCGATGGATTTTTTAACAGGCAACATTCGTCACTAACGCTGCCCTTAAAGAGGAAAAAATATATAATCGGCGACGTTACGTAGAAGGGCCATTGCTCAAAAACGTCGCCTATTATAATGTCCTTGTGGTCCATGGCGGTGTTATTGACAGACGTGTTGAGATTTTGTTATTTGTGCTCGTGCACTGCTTTCAACAGTGCATCACAACAAATGTATGGATTTTAAGACCAGTTCACTGTATTAACGTTGTTTTAGCTTGCACATCCAAATAAATGTCAATGTCTTCACTGTTAAGGAACACAAAGCAAAGTGGTGTAGAATTGATTTTAGATTTAAATTACAGAAAACAATTGTTGTATAACTTGTTTTTACTTGTATCATATTTACATTATATACAAGAAATACATCTGAAAGCAGTGTTGGAAACAGATACTTGCATTACCTGTAGCCTCATGTGTGAGATTGTGAATGTTTTTTCATTTGCCTCCACCCGCGCTTGAGCGACTGCCGTGTGTAATGCAGTGCGGCAGCAGTGATGCTCCAACGAGGGTCAATTCACACCTTCCAGCAGCCGGCAGTGCAGCCGTAGAATTTATGTACAGTACAGTATTACAATAACGACCACGGAAACGAGCATACATTCTCATGTGTTTTTGCGAGCTTAACAGCCAAATTAGAACAGTTTCGCCAACACGGCAAACATTGTTTATTTCGTAGGAGCACATAGTTAGCCGTGAGTGCAATTATGTTTCTTGCAAATTGGTTCGGCCTGGTGTCAAACAGAAGGTTTCATTGGAACCCAGTGCAAAGGCACTTACAGTGGCCGTGAAACCGGTGACAATAACGACTAGTTTTGTATCGATATGCGCCCTCAGTCATCTGGATGTTGATGAGAATTGCACACCTAACGATGGATCGATTCCATTTTTACACGTATGATACCTCTGTCAAATCACCCGCGCGATAACTGATTATGTAAGTCATGAAAAGTGTGCGATCATAGGCACATGCGTTACACAAAATTACAAATGAGTAGTGAACTTGTAATCATGAGATTTAACCAATCTTTTGTATCTTATTGCAACTCGAATAAAAATCTTAACGGTGATACCGATCCATCAAATCACTGTGGGGGGGGGGGACGGACAGGGAGTGCATTGTGTCATGCATAACGAAACTCAAGTTAGAAATGTTCTGTCAAGCTTGTACAAGGGGTAAGCACATATAATCTTCTTAGCACATCTTCTCCGTTCAGAGAATGGCTCAAATACCAAACGTATCTGCCCGTAATGTAAAGCAAACAAAAATATCCCCGTTGATTTGAATAGATGCATGCACGCGCAGCAATTCGCCTAGGTTACATTGATATAAACATAAACAGGTGAATGTTCCTATAGCTAAAATCATTCTGCAACAGAAAAACGTTTCGTAGAAGCAACACCGGGCACATTGTGACTCCAGTTGAAGAAGGCAATCAGCCCTGCCTTCGATTCAGTTGGGCGAGTGGCAGGCAGGTGGGTGAACAACTGGAATTCATTCCAATCCTAATTAGGTTTTTTTTTTCGCACTGATGCTACCCCACTGCCTGTCTGGCAAACCAGTCATGCAGGGAATCTGCACATATTGCATTGATTGACTTTAGGTGCACTGATGGGAGTCAATTACATTGCATTCCAAGTATTCCATCATACCACTGCAGTAGGTTTTGTGTGGTTGTGCCTGTGTTGTTCGGCATATCTACATAAAAGTGATGGGGGCTCCTTCCAATGCCGAATTGGGTTCCACACATCAGGGTTTTAGCCATTCCATCATAACGCACCTTAAAAATAAACTCAAACCCCGGGTAACCAGCTGTCACTGCACACCTTCCAGTTTAATTCCAATGTAGCAAATAAAAACATGATCTTACCTTAGTTATCTTTCTCTTCCGAGCTGTTGTGGTCTAGGCATTGCTACACATCACTAGCCATGATTAATCCACTGCTGGATGTAGGCCTCCCCAAGCCGTTGCCACCTCATGGTTTCCTGTGATGTAACAATCCATCTCGCGAGCACCTGCACACAAGTGGATTTGATTGCTTTTTTGTGTGGATTTCATTGCTCCATCTCCTTTGTGGGTGGCCTCTGGAACGTGTTCCATTTCTTGGCTGCCTCTCTACAAACTAGACAGTGAAACTTTTATTTGGATAAAAAACATGATGTAATTAGATTTTAAATATTGGATTTTAACTATATATTGGATTACATTGCAGGATCATGTGAGATGGCCGCAGCTTGAGGCCTTCATTCCAGTGAAATGACGGGATGCCAATGTAATTTATAAAATGCCAATACATTCTCATTTATTTCCAAATACGGGACATTTACTTGCAAAATATTTTCATGTAAATGGCAAAAATGTTTGACTTAAGTTTAATCATAAATGAAAACACATCGCTATGCTTGTGTATTTGAAAAAAAGTTTATTGCACCATTAATAAATCAGTAAAAATTTATGTTGCGTTAATTGCTTTTAGACATTGCAAGTCCATGCATCCGAGACATGACCCATACAAGCAGTCGAACTCCAGCACTTGCTCCCCACCCAAGAGTGCAGCAACCAAACAGGATTATAAAAATGTACCCGGCCACGAGCATTCCAACGTTCAAGGTCCGGTTGTGATGAATTTCACAATTCCCGGCACCATTACATCAACCATTGTTGGCAGACGTTCCCGTGAAGCTTCTAAAAACACATTGTGCCACGCACAGCATAACTTAAAATATGCATACAAAAAATTGGTACATATGGCATTCTTGTATACATTGCACAACTATGACATCTCCAAACAGTTACCAAGTGGATTAAAATAGGTCTGGTGGGACAATGTGGATATTTCCGCCTCCAATACAGCAGCTCAGCAGGGAAGTGGGTGGCCGAATCCCTGCCTCCTGGCAGTGGCACGAGCAAGGCCGCTGCGTTACACCAAAGCCACATCGAACGCAAGCTCGTTATAAAGAGGTGCAGCCCTGCAAAGTATTGCTCATGCCACTGCTGGTGGAAGGGTCTACACAAGAGGGAGCTCTCCAGAGGGCTCCCTATAGACAGCAATCGGCAGTCTCCCACGTTGGCCAGACATCACTTTACACCACCCCATGTGAATTGCCAATCGACAGATGTATCCATTTACATTACTGGGTGGACTGAATGTTTTGTGGCTGCAGCGGTAATATTAACCAAGTACAGACACATACACATTTAAAAGCATCCATTACACGCGCTATTTGTTGGCGGTATCGCGAGCTTAACAATCGCTCGCAGTCAATGCATTGATATACCATTGTGATTACCTTAAGCGATAAGGCTGCATTATCCACGTTTGTGTTTAAAAACATAAAATAAGTGTAATTTCAAGCCAGTATGGGGCCATCCATTTAGTACGTACGCATAGGAAACGGGGGGGGGGGGGGGTGAAGCCTCGATAATAATTTGTATACATTGGCCTTCAAATGAGCCACAGCTCAGTTTCTTCAGCTGTCAGACAAGTACTGCCGGGAGAAGTGGGACTGTGGGAGAAGTGTCACTTGTGTGTCACCGTGCCCCTGGCTGCAGCTATCACGCAGCTCAGCAGTGAGTCTGACAGTGGCAGCCTGCCCCATGGGTCATATATCCTGCAATCTGGCCTCGCTGCAGACTGCCGCTGGCTCAAGGTTTTAGCTGCCGCAGGCCACTGTCAAACAACACTAGCGCAGTCACACTAATCAGTCTTCTGACCGTGAGAACAATCAAAAGCTGGATGATGATGATGATCACGCCAGCGACGCTGTGGATCTTGAGACGACGGCCCAACAGACTGCAGCTATCACGCTGCTGTGCTTCAGCCTGACATTGACATGTTGACGAAACCCCTATAATGCGTCACCTGTCCAACTGGGTTCAATTGGCGTTTGAACCGAGCGGACACCAGACAAACGTTTTAAAGGTGCGCAACTTCATTCGTTAATGCAGCCGGCGGTGGACTGTTTGCTTAAAACACGTTAATATTATTAAACCTTCATCGTTTCTGCGTGGATTAAATATCGTCCGTTCTATAGGATTGGGGGGGGGGGTGTAAAAAGTATGCGTGCGTACAGGGAGGGGACAAGTTGACAGATTTTTGCGTACCTACTCAATGGATGGCCCCGATGCAAGAAAATCCTTTACAATACAGATTTGCATTTCAACAGTTATATATTTGTTGGATGTAGCTATCACGAGCCAATTCGAGAAGGCAACCTGCTTACTGTGCGTATCAACGGTGCAATATCCTGCCTATGTATGCCTAAAGCACTACACAATCACCTCTTCAAATGAGTTTTATCTTCATAATATCCACAGGATTTGTTAGGTTTTTATTTGGAGTTGTGTTTTTCCCCAAACTAAATGTCAAGGAAAAGGTTTCAAGTAATTTGTCTTCACGGATTTTTTTTTGCCAAATGTGTCTGTTTATAAATAACGTTATATCCTACATTCAGCTGTTTTGAGAAGTGATTTAAAAAAATGAAGATTAATGACCTGGTTAGTTATTACAATAAATGCTACACTTAAGTTAAATTGAAACATAAAATTCACCACTTTCTTCTTGCAAGCCCAAGCGTCAAGAATTAAAATCCAATGTACACCACATTTCCCTTCTCCGATTTCCCAATACTTTTTACCAACCCCTTAGAAAAAAAACTAAACCTCATTTCTACCAATGGTGTAATCTGCACGTGGATATGACTTGTACAATGGACACACATCAATTGAATCAATTTAAGGAATTGGTTTTCTCCGTGTGTTACAGCTGTTGGAGCCTAACCATACAAACTTAACAGTTTGCGAGACTATCTAACGCAAGATGAAATGATCTTATCCTGCAGCGATAGATGTCCGTTTCAAATCACTCAAGACTCCGAACACAATTGACAAGTATTTATCTTCATGTTATTGCTTCTTACATTACAGAAGAGGTAGTTCGATTAAAGTTCAACAACCAACCTCAACTTTCAACCAAGATGTCCACTACCATCCAGGGATGACTTTTTATCCCAAATATCCAAATAAGCATTTCGCAAATAATTTTAACTAAACAGAAGAATTTCATTTCGCATACAATCACTCGCACAGCATGGCCTCAAAACGCACACCCCAACCCTGCAAGAAACAGATTTTGGTTGTGGATTACGATGACATAAAGCAAGTTATATGTGTGAATGCAGCAGGCACTGTGAAGCTGATAATTAAAAAAACCTCACAAATACGCATGGGCACAATGGTTTTCTGAAGGCAGCCCATGATGTTTGCAGTCTTCAATGTAATGTTAGGTTTGCCTGCGCCATTCTTACACGGACAGTCTCAAAAAGATTTGTAATGCGGTCAACTCGAAAGCCTTATTTTCTATGAAATTTTTTGACAATTTACACCACAATTTCCTTTCCCAGCACTAATGATACGCATATTAACAGCTGATTTAAAGTAAAATCACATCACTTAAACTCAATTTACAGACTCAATTAACACATTTTGTATACCAAACACGAAGGCTATGCAATAGACAACTACAAATAACCCGCTCTAGACTAACCTTAGCTTATATATATATATAAATTCTGTTGCACAGAAACCCTGAAATTCAAACGTCATACATTATTTTATGTATAACCACAAGCCTGCCTTGATCAGCGTTGGGCGATAGTGGCGTTTTATCACAATATCGTAAGGTACAACAGCAATGTCACGGCTCAACGCCACAGTGACATTCCACTTGTGAAAATGCCAATGAAATCTGACAGACGTTCTGTGTAGTTTCACATTAAAGGAAAGAGTGAATAGTAACTATCAACTGTACCCATGTCGCCGATTTTTGTCAAAAGTCAACAGGCGTATTTCGCATCAGATAATGTCAACTGTGTGGGCGCAGTGGTTTAGCGCACTGCGTTCTGAAGCTGGCGACGCGCGTTCCATTCCCGGCCGCGACTAACACGATTGGGGACCGACATCTGAACTGGTCCTGGACCTCCCCCCCCCCACACACCAACCCACACTAACCAGCAGCGTGGTCAGTGTGAAGAAGTATGGTCAAACAAAACGGCAATGAACCGATACGGCATGGGGAGGCCTTCATCCAGCGGGCAATTGAGAAAGTGCTGTAGATTACAATTAACATTAGTTTAAATCTAGCATTATGGGACAACTGTAGTGGATTGAGAATGTCCACAGGTGATAATGGCCGCTTATACTCATATACATACACCCGTGTATGTATATTGAAAATTAATTGTATACTGTGCAATGATAGCTCATTCAGCACATTGTATAAACACTATTTCATGCAAATTTGCAGATGTGTTTTTTTAGGGCATTGGTCATTTAATGACTTGTGCGCATAGATGAGTAGTTTTCAAGCAGAAATGAAATCTTCCCTGGCTTCCGCCTCTATCCCCTGTCACAACATAAACTTCAGTGCAGCCAGCAGCACCAGAACATAAACCGCAGGATCTTTGAAAAAAATATATAATCGCTGTCAAATCACCATGCATGCAAGTACTCATGATATTATATAGTTTTTTTTAGATAAACAGTTGCCAAATTTCGGACCAACTCATGAGGCATAAACTATTTTTTCTGGTACAAGACCTAACCAATCCAACAAACTCAAATCTACTTAATCCGGAAGCCCTCTGGCTAAACACAGTCACTGGCATTTTGAAGGGCCACGTGCAAAATCCTACACAGAGATAGACGTCATGACTAGGGAGCGTAGGCACACCAATCATGCCGACATACAAGAGCATTCATAAGAAACCTGAGTTCAATTCCCAGCCATGGCTAATACCAGTGACGAGCGATATCTGAACTGACAATCAAACAACAACCCCCATTACTGCCGAATTGCATGGGGAGGCTTTTATTCCCCAATGGATTGATACAAGACTATGCATTATAGTACGTGTGAGTATATATTGATCATGCCACAAATTTAGACTTGGCAGGAGACCCTGTACCAGCTTCAAGAATTAATGGCGAGGAATACGGTTCCAAAATGTCTTTATCTTCAGCACTAGCAACCACAAAACCCCATGATCAATGAAATGTCACAGGAGCAACACTGGATGAAATCCACACACCTCTCACACTTCTACCCTGGAAATGGCACAATCACATGTTCAATTTGGCTGTGAACATGTGGCCACACGTACTGGCAAAGTCGTCTAAGACAATGGAAATAATTACCCACATAGACCCTATATACACTCACACATTGTGTAAAACAATAGTGAACTCTTACACGATTAAAACAAAACATCTAATTTAATCTGTGCCATATTTCAACGCGGACCAAAACAAAAATTTGTTCTTAATCATGTGCAAAAGTAATTTCTTTCCAGTGGTATAAAAGTATTAATAAAAACACATAAGTGGCTTTTTAATGAAAAATCAAGAACCCTTTGTGAACGTTGTAAATTAAGTCCTCGCACGACGTTCAAATCTGGCTGCGACGCCCCATTGGCTGCGGTCCACAGCTGGACAAAAGAGAACTGGCACTTTTGAGAAGGCGAAAGAGACGGCGGGTGAGATGGACAGCAGGGTCCAGCTGGCTGGAGGGGCGGCTGCTGCTGGGGGAGGGAGGGAGGCAGTGGGCCGCTCCCTCATTCGTGCGCCGGCACCGTCTTGAGAGCCTCCGCTGACTTGCGCGAGACACTCACGTTCTGCGCAATCGGTCGGGTGGGAGTGAATAAAATTCATTAAAATCGTGGGACGTTAAACGCACGATTGGTCAACCGCTATGGTCTCTGGTGGACATGTGACATGAGATGAAGGTCACTAAAAGCCAGCAATGGAGCTCTTAGAAAATACATTTTACATCTATACAGAGGACCTGTTGATGGTATTGAGCGATGTCATATGAAGGTGACTTGTCTCCGGTCCAGTTTTAGTCATCTATACATTAACTTAAGACATCTACAGATTAAGGGTAGTGACATGGCTCAGCGGTAGCGTGTTTACCACCTATTGTAGAGGCAGAGGTTCATGGTTCGAATCCAGGTGGCTGCCCCGATTTTTTTTATGCAGGTGTAATAACCACAATAAAATGCCGTCTGCTTTACAGTGGATGTTAAAGATGCCCTGACGTCATTCACAAAAGTAGGCCGCTCTGTGCCGGCGTCAGGATTCAAATTGACTAATTAAAAAAATTACCCGCAAATACTCAACTGGGATTATATATATCAATCATCGCCACCGACTGGTAAACTAATGCTCAGGATCGCTCTTGTAAATTTGACCATCCTGGTCTCTTGAGTTCTCACCTGGTTAAAATAAACTTGAAACTTGACCATACACCTGCAATGTATACAAAATGAAATGTTTTATCCTACCGTATTACACATCATAAGAGTCAGTGTGAGGTCTCGAATTGAGATTGTTGTTTGACCCACAAATTCCACTTCCATCTCCCAGTATAGTTCTAAGCTTCCACTCCCCAATGCTTCTTTGCAGCGCCTTTCAGCTTTTGTTTTATTTTTGTTGCCGATGTCCAAGTAATAAGCACGGAACGATTACTTTATCAAACATTCTAAGTTGGCCTGGGCAGAACGCGCTTCTGGGAAGGGACGATGGCCGACGGTCAAAACTAACGATTGAATGGCAGCCCAACGGTGCCTGAAAAGAACACAGTGATGATGGAGCAATACAATCGGCTCCTGTGTAGGGGGCCCAAGTGGATTGCTGCATCGTGAGATCACGAGGGACGGCAATGGTGGAACGCCTCCCCAAGTCGTTGCCATCCAGTAGTGGTTAAATCATGGCTGATGATACTAGTAGTAATCTCCTGGTTACACCAGCCCACAGGGGATTATTCTGTCCGTCCGTCGTGCATCAAAAAATGGGAGGGGTGGGGCCGGGTGGAGAGGGAAGGGGCTGGGTGGGGAGGGTCTGGGTGAGGAGGGTGGGGAGGGGAGGGGCTGGTCACCCCGTGGTGCCCTTATATAACCTACTCGCGCCGGCTTGTGCCCGCCCTCACAGTCGGGCATATTTGCGGAATACACCACGCCGCTGGTGACCCTGGCTATTGACAGAGCAAACCAACGTTACTACCAGCTCCCTCCGCAGGAATGTGTTAAATAATAAACGTTTTGGGATTTGTACCCAAGTGGTGCGAGTAAGTTGGATGACGATGGCTGATTGGAGAGGCTAGACCCCGGGCTCGGCAATGTGGAGGTGGGGACCTCACCTCTGGTTTTTCCCTGTGCGTGTTCACAGCCTCCACGTTGAGAAAAAACGACTCCACTCGACAACCTGAGAAGAGGGGAAATGCGCCAATATGCGGGCAAAGATTCAATAAACAATGCCCTGTCGTTGAATAATCAGTCTGAGTGTTTATCGGAGTTACACGTTTAGAAAACAAAAAACTGACAATAGAAAAGATGCTGTCATGTTTGAACGATTGATAATTTTCACTCCCACCTACAATTCCTGTTACATTTTCACAATTCAATGAATGTAGCGGATCTGCTCTTGCCAGTATACAGCACGATTGGGTATTAAAAACCTGAACGTCCAAAACTTAAAACGTTTGGAAGTTTGAACTTTTAAGCGCCGTGCTGAGAGTGGCCAGCAGGGGGCGAGTTGAATCGCTTGTGGGAGCGTATCTCAACCATATTCTGTGGTTCTTTCGGTAGTCACGTAAATAGATAAATAAGAATAAAAATAAAGTGAGTTAAAAAAATGAATAAAAAATACAATTAAAAAATTAATAAAAAAATAAAATAAAAAAATATGTAGACTGTAGCCTGGTTCTTAATCGGAGTGAGTGTACTACTGGCAGTCTAATGTAGACTGTAGCAATTGTTATTAAGCCAGGTGAGTGTACTCACAGTCTATAATGTAGACTGTAGCCTGGTTCTTAACCTCGGTGAGTGTACTGGCAGTCTATAATGTAGACTGTAGCCTGGTTATTAAGTTTGGGGAGTGTACTGGCAGTCTATAATGTAGACTGTACATTATAGACTGCCAGTACACTCACCGAGGTTAAGAACCAGGCTACAGTCTACATTATAGACTGCCAGTACACTCACCCAGCTTAATAACCAGGCTACAGTCTACATTAGATTGGCAGTACACTCACTCCGATTAAGAACCAGGCTACAATCTACATTAGTGTTTTTTTTATTTTTCTATCTACGTGACTTTACTGAAAGAACCAAAGAATATGAATTCCTGCAGTCACGAAAGTTAAGTCAAAATATCTTAACCATTCAAGATAACCCAGGGACCTGCAGTCCAATTCAACTCATTTTTCACTTTCCATTGCATTATGAACGTATAGAAACTGCAATATTATAGACACATATCAAAAGGACATATCGGTGACCTTAAAAGCACAATTTAATACATTTGGTGAGCACAAACAATTTAAACGTTAAGTGTGGTGTGGCCTACCGTAGGCTATTGGCGTCAGCTTGAGCACAGTGTGGAGTGGACACTCCAGATAAGGAAGCTCAGCTGTGGAGAAAAGGCGTGAAGATATACACTATTAAAATAACCAATTCCAATGCATTTAACACGCAATTTGCGTATATTTTTGTTTTGATTTTCAGTATACGCATACTTATTGAAATATTGATATCCCCATTGTACACCATTGGAACCCCATTTGCCAGTAAAAAATATGATAATTGTTTTTTTACCCTTCTATCTGGCAACAAAACTGACACTTTTTTTTACAAGGAGTCATGTTTGCATAGACTACAATACCTGCAGTCATAATGCAAACAAAAAACATAACTCTGATAATGTATGCACTGTCCGTGAAGTTGATTGGTCCACACCCGAGACAGCTTTCCTTAGACTCCAAGGAAAGCTGTTTGCATTATGACTGCAGATATTGTGGTCTATGTAAACATGACTCCTTGTAAAAAAGGTGTTAGTTTTGTTGCCAGATAGAAGGGTAAAAAAACAATTATCATCCCCATTGTAGTTGGCGAAGACAGTATTGTTGGCAACCGTTATCTTTGGGAGGAACTATCTCCATAGCACAGCCAGTCCGGACATAGGACAGCCGGTCCCGTACGAATGTATGTTGAACTTCTTTCGCACCGTACGTAGCCAACCGTGTTAATCGGAGGTACACATAGGAGAGTTAGTTCAAGGCGATCAACTGGCTAGCATCTCATGGTGGTGACAGTTAAACAGACCAAAGCATAGAAAGGCATTTAAATACACATGTACAAATGTACCATTCTCTGTTAAGAAATAATTCCTACACTTAAAAGACATGCACTCCATTGTGCGTGTAATAATAATTAAGAAAGTATGCCAACTGTTACGCAAGTGATCTGCTAATGTCAATTCGATTAACGGAGCCAACAAAAGTGTTAAACTGGAAGAAGAGAGAACAAGCAACACAAACAAAATTGGAACACGAGACAAGATGGGAGGGGGCGGGAGGTTGAGGGGAGGGGGAGGGAGGGGGCGGGAGGGGAGGTTGAGGGGAGAGGGAGGGGGCGGAGGTTGAGGGGAGGGGGAGGGAGGGAGGGGGCGGGAGGTTGAGGGGAGGGGGAGGGAGGGGGGCGGGAGGGGAGGTTGAGGGGAGAGGGAGGGGGGAGGGAGGTGAGGGGAGGTGAGGGAGGGGCGGGAGGTTGGGGAGGTGAGGGAGGGAGGGGGGGGAGGTTGAGGGGAGGGGCGGTGGAGGGTGAGGTTAGGGAGGGGGGAGGTGAGGGGAGGGGGGAGGCGAGGTTGAGGGGAGGGGGGCGGAGTAGGTTGAGGGAGGGGGAGAGGAGGTGGCGGGAGGGGGTGAGGGAGGGAGGGGGCTGAGGTTGAGGGGAGGGGGCAGGAGGTTGAGGGAAGGGGGAGGGAGGGGGCGGGAGGATGAGGGGAGGGAGGGGGGGGGTGGAGGGGGAGGGAGGGGGCGGGAGGTTGACGGGAGGGAGGGGGCGGGAGGTTGAGGGGAGGGGGAGGAGGGAGGTGCGACTGGTACCGGAGGACTTGTCGAGGAAGTACGCGAGCAGGCAGCGCATCACCGCCTGGTGGCACACGACCAGCACGTTCTCCTGCCGCTCCAGCTCCATGATGACCGGCTCCAGCCGGTGGACCACATCCTGATACGACTGTGGCACGAGCGCCCACACACACGCACGCACGACTGGATAAGTAAACGTACGCAAGCGAACCTATCAGGTGTGGTCTTGTACACACTGCGTTCAATCTGCGGGTCGAAACAATTCTCCGTCTGCTTCGTCCCTCGCATTACTTCACTTTACAATTCCATCCTACAGCCTCTCTTTCCAAGCTCTCATGATAACCCAGCTCAATTCAAGAAACGGGTTAACTCTTATCTATTACAACTTTTATAGTGATGCGTGTTGGCTGGCCACATGGGCATGTGATCATCAACTGTGTTAAAAAAAAACATTACTCTTTTATTTATGTTTTCCTTTTTATCAGATTTTTGTCTTTTTCCTCAACCTTATGGCCGAGATATATCACTCGCCACTGATGTTAGCCTAGGTTGAGGAATCAAACTCTTGTTGATTCCTGACCACAATTCATCGTGCAATGTGCTCACCACTTCTGACGCTACCGTCCCCGCCCACGCAAATGCACCCACCTCCCCCTTGGGGTAGCGGTAGTGGAACTTGTCCTGGTCACGCATCGCGAATTCGTCAGGATGCGATGACTGAATCTCCTCGTATGTCATCTCCTCGCACACTCCCTGCCCCACGAACCGTGCGGGAAGAAAAAGCAACAACAGCTGCTGTTAAACGTGAAGCAGAATGTGAAATGGCCACAAACGCCACTGCATATTCATAATCAAGGTTTTTTTTTTTAGTTAGATTGTGTAAGTATGTGTTGTTAAAAAACTGAGCCAACAAAAGTGTTAAACTGGAAGAGAGAACAAGCAACACAAACAAAAGGTTAAAAAACACATTTATACCCAAAAAACCTTTAATATTAATAATATTGGTCGCGAAAGCGTACATGTCAAACGACTGCGTAAGTTTTCGCAGTTGTGCTCCATGGCTGTCCAATGAGCGCGCTTTCAAAAGTGCTTCTGTGGCCGTCTGGAAGGATCTTCCCTTCCGATATTAGGAAGCCACTGGAGCTATGCACTTTCAAATCTTAGACCGAAAACTAATTTCTTTACAACTGCTTTTTGAGCTTAGTTTGTTGTCCTGCCTCCGCACCTCCGATGAGCACGACTGGCAACAACATACATACATGGATATGTACGGCGCGTCAAGTTCAGCGCGATGTCTGACGTTTCATCCCACGTGCTGGGGAGCTTCCGTTCCAGAAGCTTCATTTCCAGAAGCTCCCAGCACGTGTTGGACGTCACGCGGTACAACCTGGAAACGCATAAACATGTCTCCCCCCCCCACCCCCCATTTCCAAATGGTTTTATCCGTGGAGAGCTTACGGCGTCAATCTCATTGAGGGCTTTCCACTGCTCGTAGGTGGTGTTCAGTGCCTCGGCTGTCTGGATGGTCCTCTTCATTTGGCTCGTCCACACCTTCAAGTCCTTGATGTTTTGTTCCGAAAGGAAGGAGCACAGCGCATGGGCGAACTGTGGAGATGAGGAGACCAAGAGAGACAGTAGATTGTTTTCTGTCATTGTTTTACTTACAGTGCAATGCAATAGCAAAGGGCGGATAATAAAAATCACGAGTATGATGGCACCCAGGAAGACAACTGTAATGAGACAGTGAAGCCGACGACGATGACGACGATGACGATGGTGCAGATGAAGGCAGTCAAAGTGATGACACTGGTCATGAAGATGATGATGAGAATGACCACAATGATGATAGTTGCAAGCACAATTACAGTGAAATTGAAGACATATAAATTGGGATATCAAGTCTGGTGGTGTTGAGGATGATGCCTTTGCCTATGATGATGACAATTGGCATGACAAAGACGGTTTTGATTGGGGTAATAACAAAGGCTATGATGAGGCTGTGAGCCCAACCTCCCGCCTTCTCTAAACTCAGGTGCACCGCGTTTCGGACTTATGTCCGTGGAGTTTCTGTACCGTGCCCTACGACGCGTTTTGTGCTCCGTACTGAGCTCCAACTGAAATGTAACATTATAGATTTTAAGTTTTCGTGACTGTGAGGATTCGCTCTTTGGTTTTTTCGGTAAAGTCACGTAGGTAAAAAATAAAAAATAATTAATTAAACTAAATTTTATCACGACGTTTCTGGCGCAACACAAGCGTCCTTCAGGTGGGGACAACGTAGCGAAAGCACAAACGCTTAAGTGTGTCTGAGAGATGGCTGTGACGAGGGATTATATAGTCGCGGGGCCTGGAGGGAGGGGGGCCATGGTAAGTGTGGGGGCGGGGTGTGGGCTGGGAGGCAAAGCTGCGACACCAAGGATGTGCTGGGAGGCAAAAGCCGAAACTGGTGCATTGTGATGTAGATGGAAGTAGATAAGCAAGCTAGGTTCTTTCTAGATTTGAAGTTTTTGTGACTGCAAAATGCAACAACAAAAAAACAATGGCCATGGTGTAAATTATGGTGACGGTAATCATTCCCACCACCATTATCATGATGAAAACGATAGCGATGATATTCCAAGTGGCGATGGTGACAAAGTCATCGTCGACGACGGTGCCCACCTGCTTGCCGCGATCGGCCAGTCCCAGGTCGCCCCCGATGCGGCCCTTGAGGTTGAGCTCGGACTCCCCGTGCCGACACAGGTAGATGGAGCGCGGCTGCACGTGGATGTTCATCAGGTAGTAGACGATGCGGCTCTGCACGTGGTCCTGCACGTGGTTCACCAAGAAGCCTCGGCCCACGTTGAAGATCTTGATGTACGACATCTCCCTGAGGACACACGGCAGGGGCAACGTCAAGGAAAGTTGATCATCGCAACGATGCACACCCCCCCCCCCACCCCCGACACTGTGTTGGGTTGTCCGACAGACGGAATATTTTACGAGTTTGAACTTCAGCATCCGCCGTCCATCCTGAAGTCCCTCTACAAAACGTGGCTTTCAACCGTCTCTGGGTTTTGCAAGTTTTCGGGTTAATAAGTAATTTGCCTGTTGGGGCTGAAGAGGCATTAAGTGATGTAGGCACATTGCCAATTGTATTCGGCGTTAAGTCACTCTCTGTTCTTGAATGCGAGTGCCCGAAAAATTAGCTTCTTCAATATAGTCAGCGAATACTAAAATTGGTCGTGAATTTTTTGCCCATATGATGTTGAAGACAAATTAATATCAGCCTTTATTGTTCAGTCATGAGAATCCACTGATTATTTTGTGTAACGTTTCTAAACGCCCCTCATCACTGTCACAATAAAAAAATAAAATCACAAAACAACCTGAACATAACACCAATGACATAATGGTATTACTGCTATTACTCTCCACGAGTCCGGCGACCAAGGGGAAGGACCTAAGAGCAGATGGTGGGAGACTGTCAGCAGCACACACCTGGGAGGTCAAGCGTCTCCTGTGCAGTAGCTGCCGAGACCTGGCCAAGGGTAGAAAGCGTTGTTGGCAACGAGGTGTGGAGGCATCGACGGCTTAGGCCATGGTCCATGAAGGATGACATCATAATATTTTACTATTATTAGGAGAGATTATTTCTCCAACTGCTGCGACAGAAGGCCAGTGTCTGGGTCAAGTGAGCCGCAAATCGCTGCCTGGCCAGACGAGCGATGCAGGAGGCTAGAAAGGGCATGGGGAGGGGGGAAGCTTGGAGCAGTGATGACCTACCTATCCCAGGTGTCGTCCAGAGGCTGGTAAGTCTCCTTGTAGCACTCGATACGCTTCATGAAGTCCACGGTGGCGTCGTCCTTGTTGCAGTCCTTGTAGTCGGGGCTGCTCACCTTCACCTCCTGCAAGGAGGGTGTCGAGTCACAGGAAATATGGACTTCACTCATCCCTTCGTCGGCAGGTAAGACGGTTGTAGAGATGCTTGTATGCAAGTCATAAAATATTGTCAGACTGCGTTCGATTCACTTCACGTACGGTGATGCTGGTGGCAATGACGTCAGGGTCGTCACATAGGGACTCCACGAAGAACACCTGAAATGTACAATCATACATGACACAGCTAAAACATATATATATACGTTGATATATATGCAACACCACGGGTAATAATTATTACGACAATTATACTTATTTACCCAAGAAAGCCTCAGGAGGGTCCTGCCAAGATTTTGCAGGAGGGAGCCATGATTGCTAAATATTATTACAAGTGAATAATTGCGGGAATTTTTTTCAAATTTAGAAAATTTGGACCACGATGCCAGCACACAATGGCCTACTCTGGCGAATGACATCACTGAATCGTTTAACGTCAACTGCACCGCAGAAGACACGTATTTTTTGCCATTACACCCACAGTATTAACCAGGGCAGCCTCTGAATTCGAAACCGTGAACCTCTGCAATGTGCGGAGAACGCGCCACCACTAGACCAATATTAGGGTTTATGAGATTAGTGATAAAAACATTCTTCAGTAAAGGGTTTCATTTGTATTTGTCAACAATGACTATGAGAAGATGGACATCAACCAAGCATGAAGACAAGGACGCCTTCACACCAACACCCAAACACGAGTGACTATGACGAGACAAATTTAATGAGTTTGAATGAAGACACAGACTGAGATAATTTAGTAAAATTATTAGAGACCGCTGTGCACCGAGGAAGACCAAACATTGTAATTGGCTATATTTATTTATATACAAAGATTGAGTTCAATTTTTCGATTTAAAGCTTTCGTGACTGCAGGGATTCATCTTCTTGGTTCTTTCGGTAAAGTCACGTAGAAGGAAAATAATAAAATAATAATAATAAAACATAATAAAATAATTCTCACGACGTTTCGGCCACAACGCAAGCAGCCGTCCTCAGGTGAAGAACAGGTCTGTCGATAGACAGATTTTTTTTATATTTTATTATTTCCATTCTACGTGACTTTACCGAAAGAACCAAGAAGATTGAGTTCACTTACTGGCTGACTTGATAATATCTGGTGGAGGGGTAATAATTGTTTCACCATCACCCCAACATTTAGTAAGCAAACGTGGACTACATGCTTTATTGCTTTCGGTCACGTAGACTGTGATAATTACTTTCATAACAAATGATGACTAAACTAGTACTTATTAATGCCCAACGCTCAGAAATAAATATTTTTTGTAATAATGCAATCGTGATGTACAAATCAGAGGGCCCACAGTCAAAGCAAATTCTGAATGAACTAATTCAGATTAGCAACAATGGACTATAACCGGAGAGGTAGGATTACGTTGAATGCAACCCAGATTAGCCAGCCATGCCTGCTTGCAGTTTACAATTACGTCGCAACAACAAAGATGAACAAAAACAAAAAAATCCAATTTCGTCACACACGTATTGTTTTTTTGTTACGTAAGTGAAGCAATTATTTGAAGGAAACCACGACTCGACCTCTTGGGGTGTTGCCCCTGGTGCAAATGCAAATCCACACCGTCCTTAAAAGGACAGGAACACTCTGTGAAATGCGGAGCTGGCCAATTTGATTTGCGTTTAAAGCGTTCACGACTTAATTTCCACGTGGTTAGGATTCCTCTCGTTTTCCCCGAGCCCGGGGCTATTTACAAAATCCTGGGATTTCCAGCTTCGGGTGGCCGAGTTGTTTAAATGGCGAATTCTTGTTATTGTATCCAATCTTAATGAATTACGCCCTTCCCTGCCCTATGTCCCCCCCCCCCCCAAGGGCGGTAATCCTGATAATCAACCAAAAAGAAACCCACCACCCAATGCGTTTCTCTAGCAGTAAGACAAGCCGGGCAGGATTTTTGGCTGATTTTATCTCTTAAAGGTGGTGGCTGTACAGAGGTTTATTTCCACCGTCATTACAAAATAATCATCACCGTAATAGATAAGCATTCGGTGCATTAAATGCATTGACACGTGTGATAATTTCAAGCGCTTGATTTTGGCGTAAAAACCAATACAATGCTATTGTAATACCATTTTATTATGGAGACCATTGATGATTTCTGTAGCGGAACATTTTGGGCCGTGAGGCTAAAAAACCGCCACTGCATCTCCATGTAAATACATCACGTATTTCAGTCAATCAACCCACTGGCCATCCGAACTTAAGTTAACCAGCCGCATGCATTTAATCACGCAAAACCCTGCCAATGAGCCCTGCAAGAGGTGTATTGCAGCCAAGTAAAGTACAAAAGCAGATTTAACACGATTGCTTTTGTTCAGTCATTGGTGACAAGGCTGAGAACATCGACGTGCTGCACTTAATCACGGGCGGCTGAAACCTGGATGTGGAGCCAGGATCTCAGCGGCACCAGTTCAGTACTCCTCACCTCTGAGCCAACCTGCCCCCTCAGCAACGCATTTGTGAATCCAACAGCAGGTATTTTATTACCTCCCTCGCATGCATGATATTACTCTGCATCGGGGCTCCGCACACATGCCAGTGATCAAATTCATTGGTCAAACAGTCCAAATTTGGACCATCCGGAACATGAACCTTGAGACTCAAAGGCTTTTTACGGTAAAACTAGCAACCCACACGTCATTTGGACATGGCCATCCACCCATTCCTCCCTTCAGCCCAGCCAGCACACCTTTTTTAATATAGTATGATAGTAGGATAGAAGCCTGCATGTCCTTTAGATGTGACCATCCATTCATCAGACTCTCCCAGTATGATAAAGGGTGTTGTTATCGTTATTTCTAGATTTGAAGCTTTCGTGACTGCAATGATTCATACTCTTAGTTCTTTCGGTAAAGTCACGTAGGTAAAAAATAAAATAAAAATTACTATTATTTAATTTATTTATTTATTTTAATTTCATTTTTTACCTACGTGACTTTACCGAAAGAAATAGTTATCGTTATTGTTAGCTTCCGCATTGGTGCGAGAATCTTGCAAGCACTGCCGAAGGGGCTCTGCGGTCTGGCCGTACCTTGTAGCAGTTCTCGTTGCAAAAGTTGGTGATGAGCTCTCTGCGCTCACGTGTCGTATTTGTGGCGTCGAACACCTGCGGGGCCAGAACACAAAGGTTGCACGCGAGAGGCTCGCATTGCTTTTCCACTTTCATTCTCCTCGTACCATTTCAGATACTTCATACCCGCACATTTGTCATCTGTGACAAAAGCAGACCTTGGAAGCAAAGCAAGGTTTGGGCCCTAGCTGGGATAACGCTGCGATGAAGGACCTCGTGTTTACATTCTATGGGATTGTGGGCAGCAGAGGGATGGGATTTTTTGCAATGTACTTCCACGCTAAGACTTCTGTGCATCATGTCCGCTTCCCAGAACCAGCACTGACCGACCAAGATGGTGAAGTATGGTTAAATAACACCCACGACCTGCACTGCACGGGGAGGGGCCCCTAATCCAGCAGTAGAGTGTATATATTTGTTACAGATATGATACAACAATTGTACAAAGCAACTTTAAGGAGGCCAAGGATGTCAGGAGAAGTATTGCATGGAGCAGAGTAGGGTTTTGATGAAGTTCTGATGAACAACACGAACCTATTCTGGTGAGCAGGGAGGTCAACTTTAATGTTTTTATCGGCGAATGAGGCACAAATAATGGATTATGAGGTATACATCAAGGAGATGCATTTTAACAAAGTAAATTTAAAAAAATCGTCTCCCTTTGAACACATCGAAGATAATATGACATTATTGGAACTACGTATTACACAACTTGGAAGTTCAGAATAGAACATGGCAAGAGGGTACTGTAGATGTGATTATGGGTGGGCACCCGTTATCAGGAGGTCGACACAGGCAGTGAAGCGGAACCCAGTAATATTCTGGGCCTACTGTTCCACAATACAAGGAATTAACTACGTATAAAAAATTAGACAAAGAGGCTCCACCGAGAATGTCAAAGAGTTAATGTGCTCTGGCGAATGATCCTTTGGGTTGCGTGCACTCACCGCAACTTGCCCGCCTTCGTCCTTCAGATACTTGTGGAGGTCTTCCAAGGCAACTAGGGCACAATGTCTGTGCGAAGAAACACAATACTTCACTGAGAGAGGCCTCGCCAATTAGATCCAACGTTATGCCTGATAAGACTGCTGGACAGGTGCTGTTAGCGAGATTCCATTAAGGCAGGCAAACCGGTTGACAAGCATGGGGGATATAGTGGCACTGTTTTCTCGGCCACCTTTGTCTCACCAGTGCTGATTTTTAAAACGCACAGTGCACCGTGGGCACAATGCGATTTCTATTTTCTTCATTGCTGTGCATTATTTTGTTTTGCTTTTCTCACTTTGGTGACCCAGGTTGCTCTTGCGCATATTACTATCCTGGGTCTCTCGAATTCTCAACTGGTCAAAACAAAGTCAACTTGATTTCATAGGCATGTCAAATATTTGACGATTAAGCAGTCCTTAAATTTGATGAATCGCCTCAATTTAACCTATTTTACACGTTTTCATTTAACTCACTCCGTCTGTTGTTGTTGTCGTTGTTGTATCCTCAAATCTTGTAACTCAATTTTTACCCACTTCCCAATGTGGTATCGACTGCAAACTTGGTATACTTATGTCATACTGATGACAATACTATATTCTATCATAATAATAAATACACATGCCGTGTTAATCAGAAAACCCCATTCTCAAGAGCACTTCTGTTAATTTAAAGCACCGATATCATGTGCTTTTTGTAATAACCTCTGCCTGCGCCACAGAGCAAACTTTTTCCCGTAAGATTAAGGCCAAAGGGTCACTTCTCCACCGTGACTCATAGCGAACAGTCTAGTCACTTACTTTCTGATCTTCATGGCTTCCTCATTGTCTGGCCGGAAGAACTGGTACGATTTGTAGAGCTGCGTGGCTTCCCTGCGGTACTGCCCAACATTGAACGCTAAAAAACAAAGACGCGCACACACACGCACGTACTTAATGCTGCGAGTGTATTAACCAAAAACATGCACCCCGTGGGCTTCACAGTGGACGTCAGAGATCCCGTGATGTCAATGTGTGCCTGCGTTGTAGTGCAAATTTGAAAATGTATCCGCAAATTACTACATTGAAAAAGATTCGTGATAGTCAGCGAGGCTTTCTTGGGTAAACAAGCATCCTAATATGCACTGAATGGTGCATATGGCACACGTTTGAACCTACCAAAGGTTTATTGGGCAAGTCACAGTTGTTTTTATTTTACAAATATCCAGTTTGCATTGTATGCAAAACAACAAGTCAACATTAAAAGTTAATGTGATTTAACTTATTGCACTAGGCAGTGTGAATTGTCCAAGTCCAAAACAAATGCACGTGTGTTTTACTCATCATTAGAAAACATAACGGCAAGACATTGAGAATGGATTAGTATGTGCACATATACCTACATCAATTCCACATTTAATTTCAGTGTGATTGACCTTTAACCTAGAACCTCACTCTACATATTCCAATGTGTACATGTACATTCCTTTTGTCAATCTACTGCTGGATGAGGGTCTCCCCATGCCGTACGTTTTGTGTGGAGGTTATTTGACTTGACCAGACTTCACCACGTAGGTCAGTGCAGGTTGGAGGTGGGGAATACAGATGTGGGAGCATAGCACAGCACAACTATGGAGTTTGCTGCGCTGCCCCTCTGTTGACAAAGTAGCCCAGCAGCAGCTTACAACTGCTGCTGTATGCACGGTGGTCGCCCATCCAAGCACTATCCAGGCTCAAATACCTGCTTAGCTTCGCAATATTCCACTAGAATATGGAAATTACAAAAAATGTAATGTCATAAGCTAAACCTTTAAATTAATACAATTCATGCATTCATTTTAAATAATTACACAAAAAAACTTAGATTAAATTATCGCTCCCAAATAATAAAATTTGTCATTTAGAAAAGTATGTTTTTGTATGTTGCCGAGTGTGCCTTTTGATTTAATTACACTGCATACTATGTTTTAGCCACAAAAGCCCCTGTGTAGCACAGCCCAATGTCAATGTTCCCACGGCCTGTGTGGCAGATCTCAAGCCAAGAGGGCCTCAATCATACCTTTGGTGGGAATGCCAACCCAGTTGAGGTAGCGCGACAGCTTCTTGGACATGTAGGTCTTGCCACGGGCAGGCAGCCCAACCATGACTATCACGGTCGGGGAGTTTGTGAGGCGTGGAACGCACGCTGCCAAGCAAAGAGAGACAAAAAACACAACGATTCAAATTCAGGTTTTCAATGGACACAAAGGCATAGAGAGACCATTTTACTTTTACAGCCTCGAATACGGGGCGATAATATTGATGATGATGACGACGATGGTGCTGGTGATACTGACAGTGATGCTGATGATGGTAGTGGTGATCATGATGGTGTTGATGGTGTTGATGATGGTGGTGCTGATGATGGTGCCAAGCAAAGAGAGACAGCAAAACACAATGATTCAAACACAGCTTTTCAACCGACACAGAATGGCACAGAGACCATTTTACTTTTACAGTCCCGAATACGGGGCGACGTCTATTCCTAACAGCTCTTGCATCTGTCCCGGAAACTGCCAAGAAAACTGAAGCGTGTCCAAGAAAATGCTTAACAAATTAATTTAACCCTAAGAATGCAGGCTGGGGTCAAAAAGACCCAGGCACAATATCTCTGGTTTACATGTTACAGTGCTCTCACACGACCTCACGCTTGACATTTAATACCACGATACATCAGAATCTTTATTTAGGCTGGAGGAATCCGATGAGCTATGAAGCTCTTTTTTCACAGTTGTCCAGTATAGGCAGGTCAGCAAGTTACAACAGCATAAAAATTGCCACGAAAATGTAGCAATAAGTTATTTTTCACACGCAAGTAAAGTATACCGTATGTCACCGATTATACGGGACTTTCACACGACATGACTGGAACGGTGTACAGTATTTAAGGGCTGCTGCACCTTAAGGTTAACGGATAAAGGCTGTGTTCAATGTGTTGTGTATCAAGTTGCTGCTTACATAAAGTTAATTGTTAATAAAAAATATAAGTTTGGTTTTTGGCCACAGACCATTGAACGTTGACAGCATAAAGCTATGTGTAGATGTTTTTACCGTCATTGTTCAATGCGTGTTGTTCAGCAAGTCACAAAAACTCTGCGCCACCAAAATACTTAAACGGCTAATATGTAAATGGTTGACAATTATGAAGACAATGATAATTACCAAGGATAATGGAGATCTCAGTGTGTAGGGAAAACATACGGGTGCCGGGGAGTTCACTTAAGTTTAGTGCGAGGCTGCCGATCGCTCACGCTTGTAAACAGCCTGCAGAAAGGGCAGCGCCTTGCTCCCTTCGGAGAAACCCGCAGAATGTCCTGGCCTCATGATAAATGAAGACCAGACTGGACAGGTTTGGAACACACCAGGGCAGTCTCTGGTTTCTTTATTTCAACCCCTGTTGACGCCACAGTACCCTCTCCACGAGAGCCCCCCTCCACACGAGCCCCCCTCCACACGAGCCCATGACAAGAAGATTCACCACTGTTGCGTTCGATTACATCACAGCTTCCGTTGGGAAGAGGCAGACCTTTGGGCTTCACAATTTCACAGCAGCAGATCCTTCGCCTTTATCCATTTATGAAGACGATAATACTAATACATATCTACAGTCGTTTGGGAGTCCTCCCTATGCAATGTTTAATTTTAAAAAATGGTCAGTTTTAATTGTATATTTTTAGTGATTTGTTTACCTTTTCTATAATTTGCACTCCTATCATATTTTTGTTCAGCGTTTGTTGTTGTAACATTCTCACCCGCCTCGACTGGACATCTGTGAAAAACAGCTTCATAGCGCACCGATTCCTCCAGTATAAGTACATATTATGATTGTGGTGTCTTTTTTGGACCACACCTCACCATGCTGGCCAGTGCGGGTTGGCAAAATTGAGGGGCGTCCTTGAAATAAAAACCTGATAACCCACAAAATCTCACTGTCCATAAAACAGGCTTTTGTCGAGTCGACATAATAGGTTGACAAAACCAGTTCACTTTTTACGTTCACCGCGTGGCCACCAGTGGGGAGATGATGATCTACAATATTATATTATTGTGTTCCGATCAAGTCAGCACGGGTTATCTTAAAAAAGGTACCTTCCGTATATGATTTATCAGCCTTTTTTGAGGACATGAATAAATGATAACAGGGCATATATACATGTGCAGGACATTAACAGACAATGATATTCAGCCCAGTGTAGGATCAAGAGGGGACTGCACACACCAAAATACACACAGCGCTGTGAGCAGCAACAATTTATAACCGCACTAGGGCTACTACCATACCTTCAAGGACTTTAATTATCTCTCTCAATCATTTGACAAATTGCGCAAACCAGGGTCATGCAAAATAATACAATTTCCCAAGTAGCCGATTCTCATCTCAACCATTATCAATAGCGTGGGGAAACCAGCGGCTAATGTTAACACACACTTGTTAAGTTGGTCTTTGTGTCATAATCAGTGTAGAGGACATACACACAGTAGCCTGCACTGTCACACAGATGACTTCAGCAAGAAACAGCTGTCTAGATTACATAAAACAACTGTGATGATCAGCAAGGTCAGACTTTTGAAGATAATATCTTCAACTACGCTTGAATGAAAGTCAAGATGTCTTATCATCGTGTCTGTAATATTGCTCAACTTACTCGGTCGGCCGGCTACAAAAAAAAACTCGTTCCAACAGGTCTGTTCGGACATTCCATTCAGTTGCGATCTTGGCCAAATTTCTTTTGGGCGCATAGCGAGACGCTGTGACGTCATTCAGACATTGGTTTAACGTCAGATAACTAATTAGCTTTATGCCATTTTAATCACGCGTAATAATAAGCAGCGTTTGCCTAATCTACTCAAACCTGGTGTACACAGTTCTGTATACTCTGGCACACAAATACAATTGGAAATAAGTAATATTTAAAAATACTATTTTTAATACCACGTTGGAAGTGGGTTAAAATTGAGTTACAAGATTTGAGGATACGACAACTGCAACAGACAGCGAGTTGAATAAAAGCGTGTAAAAATAAAATGGAACGCAAACAACGTGCATGCATTATCATTTATGGCACCAGATTGAACTTCACGCTCATAATGCCATTCAGATTACTGAAGAGCTGGCACATTCACGCTCAAGTTGCATAACATCTACACTCATGCCAGCCACGTAACCATCAGGTACACAGGTGGTGCAAATGCACCAGGCCTCAAGGGTTCAGCGGGGTCGAGGCACCAGACTACGAAGAGCAGGGGAGGGGAGGTAGGGGGGAGGAATTGGATACAGCCCACCCCAACCCTCTTTTTATTCCTTGTACCAACCGTCCATGCCAACCAGACGTCCATGCCAACCAGACGATGCCACTGATCTCCTGTACTGGCACTCATCACCGACCAATAGGACACTGAATGACTCCTCACTGCTCAACAGTTGGAAAAATAAAGACGACAATGCAACACTGTGCTTGCTTAACCACCGTCTATCCAAAAAACGAGTGCGCAAAGGAATCAATGTGGTCGCTTAGTTTTCTTTAAAAAAATGAACTTTCCAAAGCGATTTAACCCATTTTATTAAGAAAGTCCGTGACCAAATCGCGCAGAATGCATCCGATTTTAGCATATCTCGTAAACTAATCAGCGTTGAGCCTGGCTAGTGCCTAACACCTATTAAGCATTGCGGTGACGTGTCCACTGTTGTGGGTAGCACAGGGTAGTGTAGCAATACCAATTGTTGTACTGTACTTCTATGCTCCCACGTGCCTGTCCCCGGCGTCCACCCACCCTCACTGACCAGCATGGTGAACTACGATCAAAATAACCCACAAAACGCACGGCGTGGGTTGGCCCTCATTCAGCAGCGGAATGACAAAAGGCTTTACAGGCACATTCATTAAGAATTTCTGACACTTAACCACAGCAAGACAATTCATTATATCCTGGCAGAGTGTCTGGCCTCAGCTATAAAGAAATGCTGCTGTTTGAATAATAAAAACACATTTGCATGTTCACTGAGATGTGAAATCCGTCCAATATACTGCAGTTAATGAACAGTATAACACATTCATATTATCTGGAAATCAGATGCAGTGAGCAATGTATAAAGGAAAGAGACGTCTGCTTATCTATTTTGTTACTTAAAACAAATTACTTGGCGATACTGTTTGGTAGTGATGCACAAGCACAGATAGCAATAACCAACGAATTCGTCAATCACACTGCATTAAACAGAACGAATAGGCAACGTTTTGAGCAGTGGTCCTTATTCACAGCGCAAGTATCTATCTCTCTCTGCTGTGCCTTAATAAGGGCCACTCGGCCATTGCCTACACCGCTTGTCATTGACACCGTACTCATTTTATCAGCTCTGGCGAGAAGGTGGAGTTGACCCCCGGACAGAATTTGAACTTGCGACCTTCGGAATGCCAGCCACAGGCTGTAACTGGTAATGCCACCCAGCAAGACGGACGTTCCCTTCATTACCTAAGGGGACACTGCAACCCGATCACAGGCACATAGCAGGCTGCTTTACCGAAGGGCTGTTCTATAAACGCCCACTGGCCATGCGACGAACCCTCCAGTGAGTAAAAACAGGAAACCCGAGAGGGGCTTGTGGAATCTGGATCTAGCCGACCCGTCTTCTGCTGGGGCCAGACGCAGCTGAACGGCAAAGTCAAGTGCGAGCGACGCAACGTCTAACGGAACAGAAATCGGTCTCTAGAGAGCAGTGCATATTGTCCTCCACAGTTGAGCATCTCACAACTCTGTTCCTTGTGACCCACCGGACGAGCGAACTGTGTTGCCGAGAGAACCAATTCACCCCCTTTCCGAATACAAATTACGTTGTCCGATGAGCCTAATGGTTACTCAACATCCATAACAGGTGCTTTTGGGTTAGATCGCATAAATATAAATGTCATTACACCAGCCACCACCAGACACAGCCAATTAGTAAAGTTTGTCATGTAAACAAAAAATGCCAATTCGTTACTAGTGGAGTGGGTTCAAACTGACTCTTGGAGGCCACACATTTATTAGTACCAACACACACGAACACGAAGGGGTAACTGCCCCTTCACCAGATAACAACCCATGGTGGTGGTCCACCAGGCTAACTACACTAATTACACTTGGAGTAGCTACAATGGACGGGACCCC